GTTTAGGAATTGGGGGCCAAAAAGGGACCAAAAAACACATTTTTCTAGTTTCCAGACAATAACTTGTGTTCAAGTGTATGGATCTCTCTGAAATTGTACTGCAAGGTACCATACCACAAAGGGAAGGCTGGGATTGAGTTTAGGGGTGATGAATCATAAGGGGGTTCAAAAAATTTGGGGGGGGATTTTCTTTTTTTTTCCCTTTTTTTTCTTTGTTTCCTTTTTTTTTTCTTTTAAAATTTTCTATTTTAAGTTGGTTATTTCTGATTTATATTTAAAAGCAAATAATAATGATATGGTAGGAGATACACACTAAACAGGATGTGTAAATTATTATATAATAAGTATTGTGCAATGGCAAAAAATTTTCAATTGCACAGTATTGCACAATAGCAAGAAATCTTCAATTGCACAGTATTGCGCAATAGCAAGAAATCTTCAATTGCACAGTATTGCGCAATAGCAAGAAATATCCAATAGCACAATATTGCGCAATAGCAAGAAATTGTCAATTGTGCAGTATTGCGCAATAGCAAGAAATATTCAATTGCACAGTATTTTGCAAAAGAAGATACTTCGTATAAATTGCTTATTTCTTGACCAATTTCAATGGAGTTTTATTCTTGAATTCTTGGGGTTCTTTAATATGCTGAATCTAACCGTGTTTTAAGTTTTTGGATTTTGGGCCCCGTTTTTAAATTGGTCCACATTGAGGTCCAAAGGGTCCAAAATTAAACTTTGTTTGATTTCATCAAAAATTGAATTATTGGGGTTCTTTGATAGGCCGAATCTAACTGTGTATTTAGATTCTTAATTTTTGGTTCCGTTTTCAAATTGGTCTACATTAAGGTCCAAAGGGTCTACTATTAAACTAAGTTTGATTTTAACAAAAATTGAATTCTTAGGGTTCTTTGATATGCTGATTCTAAACATGTATTTAGATTTTTGATTATGGGCCCAGTTTTCAAGTTGGTCCAAATCGGGGTCCAAAATTAAACTTTGTTTGATTTCATCAAAAATTGAATTCTTGGGGTTCTTTGATATGCTGAATCTAACCATGTATTTAGATTTTGGATATTGGACCATAATAGGTGAATGTCCAATTTAAAATTTTTAAGTTCTTAGACCACATTCATTTTGTGTTAGAAACCTATGCTGTGTCAAATATTTAATCACAATCCAAATTCACAGCTGTATCAAGCTTGAATGATGTGTCCATACTTGCCCCAACTGTTCAGGGTTCGACCTCTGCGGTCGTATCAAGCTGCGCCCTGCGGAGCATTTTATCATGGTTTATTATTCAACATTAAGTTTTCATGATTATATCAGATTATTAGTAATTATTAGTAATTATAAGTTACAGGCCTACTACTGTTTAGTTGTTGTATATAATTCATATCCTTTTGATAGGGTTCAGCTGTCCTTGACTTCATTTTCAGGGATCATTGATCCATGTTGAGGTTTTATGAGGCCTGCAATAAGACATTAATTGCATTTTACATTATAAGGAGTGCATAAGTATGCAGAATGAGATAAGGTTTGAAAATATTTTTTTTAGATTTTTGTTCAGAAACATGGGTTGATTGTTCTTACTACTAGTGTTGTTTTTATACGCCCGTCAAAATTTTGACGGGACGTATTATGGTATACAAATGTCGTCTGTCCGTCTGTCTGTCCGGCGTAAACATGTTGCACCGTAACTTGAGAACGACTTATCCAAATTTCATGAAACTTAACATAGTTATTTGTTATGATGGGCAAACGATCTGTATACATTTTGGTGAAAATTAGATAAAAACTTTTTGAGTTACGGGACTTAGTAACTAAAACAGGTGCGTGTGTTTTTTTCACATGTCGCGCCGTATCTCAAAAACAATTTATGATTATTGCTTAAAACTTTACACACTTCTTAGTTATATTAATCTTAAGATCTGTATACTTTTTGGTGATGATTCAAAATTTTATTTTAGAGATATTGAGTATTTTGTTAAAAAAGGGGGAGGGGTTTTTCACATGTCGCTCCGTATCTCAAAAACAGTTTATGATTATTGCTTAAAACTTTACACACTTCTTAGTGATATTATTCTTAAGATCTGTATACTTTTTGGTGATGATTCAAAATTTTATTTTTGAGTTATTGAGTATTTTGTAAAAAAAGGGGAGGGGTTTTTCACATGTCGCGCCGTATCTCAAAAACGATTTATGATTATTGCTTAAAATTTTACACACTTCTTAGTTATATTAATCTAAAGATCTGTATACTTTTTGGTTTTGATTCAAAATTTTATTTTTGAGATATTGATTTTTTTTTTTTTAAAAAGGGGGGTTTTCACATGTCGCGCCGTATCTCAAAAACGATTTATGATTATTGCTTAAAATTTTACACACTTCTGAGTTATATTAATCTACATATCTGTATACTTTTTGGTTTTAATTCAAAATTTTATTTTAGAGATATTGAGTTTTTTGTAAAAAAAAGGGGGTTTTCGCATGTCAGGCAGTATGTCAGAAACTATTTATGAATATTGCATAAAAATTCACACTCAAGACGACGGGCGTATCATGCGCTCATGGCACAGCTGTTTATTTTATTATGGTAGGTTAAAAGTAGTTTGATGTAAACTGAATGTGATATCAAAATTAAATAGTTTCTTTGGAGAACTTGTAATATCAAAATGAAACTTTCATTATACCCCTCACAAACGGCTAGTTGCAAATAAAAAAAACTACTAATAAAACTTATAACTACAAGGAATAAATAGCTTTGGCAGTCAATTATGATCTATGCTTTCTCTCCACATTGGTAGCATAGATAAATATTCATAGTAGAAAATAATATGTTATTAATGTTGAATAATAGTTTACAATCTCAGGAACAGCTGATATTTGTTTATATACATGAACAAAGTTGTTACCATTTTACAGAATAACTATGTAAATAACATAACAGGTGCAATTACGAAAAAAACATTCTTGTATTTATGTACGGACCAAACATGAATATCCTAATGTCTATAATACATAGAAATCCCAGAGATGTGAGGCATTATGCTTCTTACCTCTAGGAACCTGTGAAATCCTTGCTGGAAGCCAAAATGTAAACATAGAAAAGTCTCATGGACTTGATCATGCTCTTGTAAAAATACACAATATACCAGAAATTAACAATATAGGGAAGAAATACAAAACATCAAAAAGAGAAAATATAAGAGTCCTCGACTCAAAATATAAAAATAAGGAGATGTGGTGTGATTGCCAATGAGACAACTATCCACCAAAGTTCAAATAAATGGGATGTAAGCAATTACATAAGCAATGCTTATTCTGATAAACTATTGTGGCTTAACCAATCTAGGTATATTCATTTTTCCAGTTAGACTCTAATAAATGGGAGCTTTCTGGTACACGCTCAAAATATTTACCGAACAGTAACGTTTTGATCAATACATGACAAAGTTGTGTCATATTTGACCTAAATGATACAGCTTATACCTAAAAATGAAACATACATTACTTGTTCATTTAGATAAACTTGAAACTGAGAATAACTACAGAATAACTTATACAAACTATCAAAATATGTTAGTTTTCTCGTTTGAATTGTTTTACTTTTGTCATTTCGGGGCCTTTTATAGCTGACTATGCGGTATTGGTTTTACTCATTGTTAAAGGCCGTACAGTAATCCATAGTTGTTAATTTCTGTGTCATTTGGTCTCTTGTGGAGAGTTGTCTCATTAGCAATCATACCATATCTTCTTATTTTTATATAGTGACAATATTTTGTTACTTGGGAACTATGAGTGAATACATTTAGGTTAAAAGGAAGTAAATAAAGGTGATTGGCGCCACCTAGATTTCACATCCAGGATAATAGGTAGAAGTAAATTTATTTTCTGCTGCCCTAGTAATTAGAAATCAAAATTGAAATAGTGAGAAATGAGTGTTGGCCATTGTTGTAGAAATAGCGAGAAATTTAGAGAAAACTCTCTGTGACGACAAACATTTTCTGTGCCAAATTTAGCAAGGGGTGTTCTTCATTTATACTATTTCGAAAATTCTGGAACCGTTGAGTACCCTTAAAAAATGCCATTTTTCTATCAAAAAAGCTGCGGCACCATATGTGTTTTGCAGTTTCAATTACACCCAAAGGTGTTGATAATTCAGATTTCGACATTTTTTTCAATGGATCTTTGATAGGGAAAATGCAGGACCAAAAAAGGCTACCATTGTCACCTATGTAAATAATTACTTCCTTGTAACCTTTACAACACTACCTGAAGATGAGCTTTAAGAATTATAATCAGGAGAGAACATGCCCAAGGGGAGATAATCAAATTTACTTATTTACTTATAAACAATATTGCAGTAATTTACTTATTTAGGTATAAACAATATTGCAGCATGTGATAAAAGTTTCTTTCAACATCTCTGGCTTAACAGCTAGAAATATATTGATTATGAATTTGGTGTTCGTAGTTGCTTACAGCTAGAACTTACTGCAAAAATTCAATAAACAGATGAATGTAGGGAGAGGGTATCTATTTAAAAGGAAAAAAAAAACTAACTCAATCTGCTACTGAAAAAAATGAACTACACCTCAAAATCAAATAATTTTTAGTCAAAGGCTCAAATTTTAATGAATAGCATGAGGAAATCAAGAGTAAAGTTAATACTTAATCATGCCATATCATCTCATTCACAACTACATTAGAATAAATCACTTTAGGCATGTCAATGGGACAATGTTTAAGAAAAACAGACAATTATTGATACCACATTGGCAGTCGTGATGAAAATAAGGAGTCCGGTTTTAAAGGTCTTGTAAATGCCCTGATGTTGTTAATTAAGAAAGGATTTTAATTTACAATGTACGTAAACATTTTTCAACAATGTTTGGAAGAATAATCTATAAGTAACTTTCATATTAAAATATATTTAAACATACATTTGTTTCTTGTTTTAAACAATATAACTGGAAAGTAAAATTTTTTACTTTCAGAGTTGATAAAAAACGAGATAAATTGGAAAGAAAAGTTTTAGACAGTCAAGAGAGAGCATTTTGGGATGTTCATAGACCCGTGGTAAGTATTTTAATGGATAAATTTATAAGAAAACTCAAGCATATGGGATAAATTCATATGAAAAGTCAAGCGTACAGGATAAATTTAAATGAAAAGTCAAGCATACAGAAATTTTGATTTGCCTTAACAGAGAGATGAGGAAAACCTTCAGTCTCCATGTGCATACCTGCTTTACAATTCCCAGCTTGTTGTGAGAAATGTATGGACTAACAAACATGTTTAAAGATGTACCTTTTCATATAGTCTGCCAAAGAAAGGGAGTCTTATTACACTTGATGCAGACAGAAGTTTTAGAGAGGTTAAACCAGCTTTAAGTACATACAAACATCCCTTTTGCCTATCTAGACCATTTGTCATAACAGTTAAATACACATAAATTAATTCTCACATCTGAATGTGTAAGCTTTTTCTTTATTAAATTTTGTTTGTATCCATTCAAGTCCATATGGTACCTTGATGAACATTAAAACAGCGGTATCATAAGGTAATTCCATGGGATTTGTGGATTTCTTGAATAAATTCTGGCATTTGATTGATACATGTGATACTTTTTAAATATTTTTCGTTTTCATGTTTCAATTTTAAGGAGCAGTTTTTCATCTCCAGGTTTAATACAAAGAAAATATTTTCAGACTTTCCTTTAATATTGAGGCTATTTGTAAAAAAAAATCAACAATAAAAAATCAAGGATCATACTTTTTCTAACTTGGCAGTTGTTTCAAAGTCATTCATGAATTTAAAAATAAGAAAAAAATAACTCTCCACCAGAGACCAAATGACATAGAAGATAACAACAATTGCTCACTATACTGCCTTCAACAATGAGCAAAACCAATGCAATGAAAGCATACTTCATTAAATGAAATGTGTAATAAAAGAGGTTCAGATGTAGTTAATAATAATAGTTATTGTTTATTCAAAAACAATACAGCTTATAGAATATCATGATATAATACACCCACATGTTAGTCAACTAAGGACAAATAAATCTTACAAAATATTTTAACAACACATTACAAACCAAGAACTCTTATAAAACCACAGAAAAAAACAAGAGTAATTGTAAGTATTTTGGTTTGTTGCTTGATGAAAACAGTAAATCACGCATGTTTATATAACAGAATTTGTTTACAAACTTTGGAGTGAATATTTATTACAATGTATGTGATAATTGACGTTGATAGTGGTGATCTTTAAGTGAGTGATAATTAAAACCCTTCCTACAAAACTTTCTTCAATAAGTCAATATAAATAAGCACTAATTACAAAATGTTATCACTTTAGGTGTATTGCTGTTTTTATCATAATAGTGAATTGTAATGTCAGTGAAGCAGGTTATTCGTGCCTAATAATTTTTGCTAATATGTTTAGTCTAGTTCAAATATAACCATAAAGGAGTAAGTTTGGTAAGGGCCAATAAAGTCCATTTTTGCAAGATAAGAAATGTTTCAAGTTGATGAAAAGACCTGTAAGAAAGTGAAATAGAACTACTTTTGTACAGCTTTTCTAATAAAGTGCTAACATTTACAACCCAAATAGACCGTAATTAGAGTTTTCATGAAATTCTAACTTATTGTAAATACAGAATCTGTATAGATTCACCATAGAGTGTACAGATGACTGAATACAGATTTCTGGAATTGATTTAATGTGTGCTATTTGTTTAAATAAAAATGATGAATCAATCTTCATTTATAATATCTTTATAAATTGGAGAAAAAGTAATCTTTTCCTGAGAGTATTGGATAGAAAAAAATGCAAAAATGTTATTGAAAGTTTTAGAGAGGTTAAACCAGGTTTAAGTACACACAAACATCCTTTTTGCCTATCTAGACCATTTGTCATAACAGTTAAATACACATAAATTAATTCTCACATCTGAATGTGTAAGCTATTTCTTTATTAAATTTTGTTTGTATCCATTCAAGTCCATATGGTACCTTGATGAACATTAAAACAGCGGTATCATAAGGTAATTCCATGGGATTTGTGGATTTCTTGAATAAATTCTGGCATTTGATTGATACATGTGATACTTTTTAAATATTTTTCCTTTTCATGTTTCAATTTTAAGGAGCAGTTTTTCATCTCCAGGTTTAATACAAAGAAAATATTTTCAGACTTTCCTTTAATATTGAGGCTATTTGTAAAAAAAAATCAACAATAAAAAATCAAGGATCATACTTTTTCTAACTTGGCAGTTGTTTCAAAGTCATTCATGAATTTAAAAATAAGAAAAAAATAACTCTCCACCAGAGACCAAATGACATAGAAGATGACAACTATAGGTCATTGTAACTTCAACAATGAGCAAAACCAATGCAATGAAAGCATACTTCATTAAATGAAATGTGTAATAAAAGAGGTTCAGATAATAATAATAGTAATTGTTTATTCAAAAACAATACAGCTTATAGAATATCATGATATAATACACCCACATGTTAGTCAACTAAGGACAAATAAATCTTACAAAATATTTTTACAAAACATTACAAACCAAGAACTCTTATAAAACCACAGAAAAAAACAAGAGTAATTGTAAGTATTTTGGTTTGTTGCTTGATGAAAACAGTAAATCACGCATGTTTATATAACAGAATTTGTTTACAAACTTTGGAGTGAATATTTATTACAATGTATGTGATAATTGACGTTGATAGTGGTGATCTTTAAGTGAGTGATAATTAAAACCCTTCCTACAAAACGTTCTTCAATAAGTCAATATAAATAAGCACTAATTACAAAATGTTATCACTTTAGGTGTATTGCTGTTTTTATCATAAAAGTGAATTGTAATGTCAGTGAAGCAGATTATTAGTGCCTTATAATTTTTGCTAATATGTTTAGTCTAGTTCAAATATAACCATAAAGGAGTAAGTTTGGTAAGGGCCAATAAAGTCCATTTTTGCAAGATAAGAAATGTTTCAAGTTGATGAAAAGAGCCGTAAGAAAGTGAAATAGAACTATTTTTGTACAGCTTTTCTTATAAAGTGTTAACATTTACAACCCAAATAGACCATAATTAGAGATTTCGTGAAATTTGACAAAAACGCCTGGATTTCAACTAAGTTTGGCCTAATAAAAATAGAGCGCAGCTTCAACTAACTAAATTTTCAAGTCAGATATGTAAAATGTTATGACAAACAATATGTTAAAAGATCTTTTTTGTCGACATATGTGCTCTATGTTTCCAGTCCTGAAATCAATGAAAATTTGCCTGTTTTCATTGATTTCGTGGAAAATCAAAATGTGTGCTATTTGTGACGTCATGAAAAGAATGCTTATATGTAAATTTTCAACAAATAGACATATTTTCTATCAAATTATTGTTTTAGCTATGATTCATTGTCATATTGTTCAATAAATCCTTATTGGAAATTTTACCTAGAAATTCGGACCATTTTAGGGCCTTATCGAACTTACTCCTATAATATAAATGTCTATAGCCTCAAACTGGTAATTTCATCAATCATAGAAAATCAATACCAAATTATATTTGTTTAGTCTTGATGAAAATCTCAAACACAAAACTGAACACAGAAAAAAACAAAACCCAAAACAAGCATATTTTTTCCAGAAAACTCTTAACATTACAAAACTTTATAGTGTTCTTTTTCTTATAACATAACCTGAGTTTTATTTTTTGTACACATGTCATTAATCCATTATATGGACAATTCATTATAGTTTCTGTTGATTCTCAACTTTTGTAGACTCGGAACAATGTAGAGCTTGCCATATTGTATGGACACTTGTCTTTTGTTGAAGACTATATGTAGCCATCTGGATGACTGTTGCTTTTTTTGTCTTTGGGTTGCTGTCTCATTGACTACCACCCACATCTTCTCTTGTTTAAAGGAGATAGCATCTTTAGCTGAAAAGCTGACATTTTTTCCTGAATGTGTCAACATAGTCTTCTAACTGTGTAAATAAGGTTTTAAACTTTATCAAATTTAATGAACCATGAAATGTAAGTCACGGATTCAGTTTGTCCTGTACTTGTGTTATTGTTACAAATGTTACAAAATAGTTTTAATGGGGATGGGTTTTATTATGTTTATTGTCCCCCACGCAATGCATTGCAGGGGACATAGAAATACCTGGCATCCATCTGTGTGTCCTTCAGTCTGGTCTTGTTAGCGCTCTCAGGTGTACAATTCTTGTCAGATTTTTATGAAACTTATATCATAGGTTTATAATATATCAGCAATATCTTGGACGAGTTTGAAGTCAGTCCCGATCAATTTTTTTATATGGAAAATTGCATCATTAGCGCTCTCATTTGTTCAATTCTTGCCAGGATTTTATGAAACTTATTGTAAATACAGAATCTGTATAGATTCACCATAGAGTTTACAGATGACTGAATACAGATTTCTGGAATTAATTTAATGGAATATATTTGTTTAAATAAAAATGATGAATCAATCTTCATTTATAATATCTTTATAAATTGGAGAAAAAGTAATCTTTTCCTGAGAGTATTGGATAGAAAAAAATGCAAAAATGTTATTATAAATGTTGGTGTTCATTTAATAAGATAGCATGCATTTCTATTTTAGCCAGGATGTGTAAATACAACAGAAGTAGATATAAAGAAAGCATGTCGGATGAACAGGCACTCAAAAATGACAAGGGTAGGAGTTTTAAAAGTAGTAGGCTTTTCTTTTGTTATGAAATGGGCTGTTAGTTTTCTCTATTGAATTGTTTCATATTTTTCATGTCAGGGCCTTTTATAGCTGACTTTACCAATGCATAACATTTGCTCGCAAAAATCATTACGTTTGCACACAGCTATTAATTATATTCGCGTATTTATTTTACAGTTAAATACTGAAAAAACAGATAGATTATATTTATTTACTATTATTTATTTAAATACCCCTTCCGTTAGTCTAAGTGCCATGCTCACCAACGAGGTTTTCGAGTAGGACTAGTTAATTTTATTATGCACAAGCACCAAGTCCTGGAAATATATACAGATAGAATTATAAAACCATAGTAAATATGAAGAGTAAAAGTACCGATTATACCTGCAAGTACATGCTGAATATTTGAAGCCAACTGGTTTTAGAAAATAAATTCATTCAAATTCTCTGATTCTGTTCTGGTATTATCGGAATTACTTCATCAAATACTCAATTTTTTTTCTTTCTCACTTTTACGTACAACTGCTGATGTTTCAAGCCTGCTTAGTTTGATATATCTGGTGGTTTTGAAATTTTGAAATAATGTAAAGAAACACAAAAATACATGGATAATTTACTTAATATATATTTTTCACCAACTAATATGAAATATATATGATTTAAAATGATAAATATGTTCAAAATTGACTATTGACATATTTATTATAAATTATCTTTATATTTACCTGTATTACCTTTAAAATGAATGCATGCAAATGTAATAAAAAGCTGCATGCATACGTCAAAAATTTTAGTCCTCAAATCCGTGCAAATGTAATGCGTCCAACTATACGGCATGCATTTTTCTCATTGTTGAAGGCCATACAGTTGCCTATAATTGCTTACATCCACTTCATTTGATCTTTGGTGGATAGATGTCTCATTGGCAATCATACCACATCTCCTTATTTTTATATTGAATATATCTGCAAGGTTTAATCCAGACGAATTATGCATTCCAAACTATTTCAGTTTAATTACGTTAATTCATTGTACTATATCAGTCCAACAGTGTGATCAGTTCTACCATGGAATGGAAAGGATAGCAAGAATACTTGTGCTGTTTCATTGATTTCTTATTGCTTCACTTTATATTAATATGACGGTGACTGGTCTGCGGAATGTAAAATTTCACACTGAAATTGCCACTCCAGTACCTTGCTTTACATTAGTAATAAGAGGATTTAAAGTCAGAGTCTATGATGCTGAAAATAACTTTTGGTAACCCATTATATGTTTCAAAAAGATATCAAAACAGAGTTCCTGTTAAAAAATATTGTAGAAAAACTGTGAATTTCTGATTGTAACTACGGTAGTACTGGACAAAAAAAAAATTCTTTTTAGAAAAATTACATTTTGAAATAAGGGTCATTTGAAATTCCCTGTAAAATCATTATACAACTATTTTGGTATACTCTAATACAAATATTATAAGAAGCAGTGCATTGTATAACATGTTATATCTTTAGAAATAACTATTGTTTCAATTTAAGAAATATCACATAAATTATGAATACCTATGTTTTTATTTTAGCCAAATTATGCTGTCCCTGGTGGTAGGTTAAGTCCTAGTGTATCAGAGGCAGATTTACACAATCCTTGTGAAAGTTTACGACATGAGGTAGAAACTTATAGATTTACAGCTATGCCAATCTATAAAGCAATCAGAGTTATCCCCCATTGATCACAAATACAACAGATAGGCAAACACATCATTTTAGGGCTGAACTCATTTGTGGCTTTCTAAACATATTCTTAAAAATAAAATTTTGTGAAACGATCATATTATTTAATGAATGCATCTGGGAGAACTACACTGACACTGATTGATTGATGGGTGTTCAATACCATATGAACAACCAGGCTATGTCACAACCAGGAATGTTTTGTTTACATTAGATACCATTAACCGCCGGACAAAAGTTCAATCTCTAAAAAAAATAATTGCTTTAAAAAGTATAACATCTGAAATAACAGTAAAATAAGGTTTTAAACAATCAAAAACAAAATTTTATTACTATATGAAAATAAAGAGATGTGGTATGATCGCCGTTGATACAACTATCCACCAAAGATTAAAGGACAAGGAACAACTACCTGAAACCATACAACCTTCAACAATGAAGAAAACACATACTGTTAAGTAAGCTATAAATATCCCACGCTATAAAAATCCCAAGATGACAAATGGAGCAATTCAAAGGGAAAACCAACAGATTGATTTACAATAAAACTATGTAAAACAACAGGCACATACAGGCACACTTTGACTTTGACAAAACGTGTTGCAATTCTGCCTTTACAGTCAAACACAAATTTTACCAAAGTAATCAGTTGATACTATATATATTTCCAACTGCTACAGGAAGTCTGTAGCAAGTAAGCAAAATTACTAATGTAACTTCAAATTGATTAAATTTTAAATGGAATTAATATGCTATTTTTTTGGTGTTTGACTTTTGGTAAGTACTAATGTGTGATCATTTGCCATCACACACTAACATTGCTGACTTGCTCTACATGTAACCTTTGTATAAAACATTTTACCAACCAATCATTTAGTTAATGATACAAACTCTTATATTAGTAAGAATTTTATAAGACTGCAAAAATAGGACAGCAACATTAACAGTTAAGTCACAGTAATACTGAGATGTATTTTATGACACATATGAATTCTATAAAATCTTTACATTTTTTCAAACATACTATTGTTGAAATACACCAAGATTGTTGTTCATTTAGTAAAAGGCATGCATATGTTATACTGTTATGTTGTATTAAAGGGAAAATTCGCGATTTTTTACTTATCATCTTATTATGTTCATAATACCATTAAAAACATATTCACCAAGTTTTATCTGGATATGAAAACTAATAAAGAAGAAAATTGGGAATTATTAATTCTATTTATTCAAACTTCCTGACTTATGTGACGTAGTTTAAGTCTTTTTGCATGCCGGGAGTGGATTAATCTCATTTAAAGTCTTGTTCGTTAATCATCTAATAACGCGATTTAAAGCGCATCAACGACTTTTGGTGTAGCTATTAACCAACTAACAATTCAGAAAGAAAAGTGATTAGCCGTGCATTTTTTTAATTAAAATTTACGATTTATATTTTTAGGGTTTCTGATATGATTATAGTAATAAAAGCAAATCATACAATAGAATTTTTTTATGATTTTTTTTTCGACGGATATTTTGAACAACATATATAACTGATAGTATAATAGAAATTCACGTTTGTATTCTCCCCTATTACTTCAGTCGAGGATTTGTCTTGCTATACAAATCCTTGCATCAGTCTAGTACTGTGTAAATACAATGCATGTGTATTATGCTGACACCACCTGGTAAAGGCGTGGTTAAATTCACGGTAATTAAAAGATTAGCATTATGTAATTTTAATCCTTTGATCTTCACTAGAGTGGTGTTTGTCCTCAAGGGTTCACCGTTGCAGGTATGAGACAGATTTTTTTTAATTATTAAGGGAGGAATATAGTGGCAAAATACCTTAATCGCTGTTATATATATATTTTTTTAACATTTTGCATTTGCTCAGTTTTTAAATAAATAGGTGAGTATTTTGTTGTAACATCGAAATTCTGAATCACTTTTAATAAAATAATTATATAAATATTATAAATGGCACACGAAAACGAGCGTATATATCAAAACAGTACTATTTTAAATTATCATCGGTAACCTTGAATATTTAAATGTGCAGAGAAAATTATCAGTTACAAAAATATAGTTTTGTCGTCCAAAGCGATCTTTTTTACCTAATCAGGAATGCCCTTATTAAAATATTATAAATCTCACAACGTATTTATATAATTCTTAAGCTATTTGACCAACGATGTTTAAAAAAAATAACAGAATCAATCTAACGTCAACTTTCCTTTTTTAAATGGAGACAGAACGTCGAAATCAATTTTCAATGTGCTTGATATCTTGTACCTTTGTAAGACTTATCATTCATTCATAAACCCACTCTAAACCAGAGACATATATACGTCTGTTTAAACTGACAAGAAAACTCCTAAAGCGGACAAGCAGTATATTCTGTAAATTTCTGAGATTTAATACAAAGAAATAAAAAAAATCCCGAAATGAATTTGATCCTGGAAAATATTCACATCCTCATTCGATCTGAAAAAAAGATACGAATTTGGTAAACAGAACATGCAGAAGTGTGAATGTTATAAAACCTAATTGTTATATCAGAAACCATTATAAATATGAACATGTATACGTAAGACCTCATGGGACGTCACCTAACCACATTCAGGTAATATACAAGTAGCTCTGTTATACCCGGAAATGTCAAGGTTAATCATAGATAGATAGACATGACCTCAGACCCCCCCCCCAATCGAGGAACAGTATATCTTACAATGTGTATATTCCTGCAAAAATAAAAATAAAATGAGAAAAAAGAAAGAGATGAACGGTAAGTCACATCAGATTCAGATATTTATATAGTTGCTTGTCGTTAAATAGAGATCTAGTGTATACATGTCTCTGCGTTAACTTATAAAAATAACAGGAAATAATAAATTTGAAATATATTTATGATGAATACTTTGCAACTGCGACACCCCTTTTTATCACAGCGTACATGCATGCATTTAAATGACCGTCCGTTATGCCATTTAGAATGACAATCGTACGTACAATCCTATAGTTCATGGTGAGTCCTTTTCTATCAGATATGCGACTTTTCGTATTTATATTTTCTCTTATATTACCGGTACTGTCATTTAATATCTAATGCATAAGTGCAATATTAAGAGTGGTTAAATCCCCTACAAGCTAACTAAATAAATAAATCAACCCTCTAGCTGACCAGACGTTAATACAACTACCATCAGTCTATCCGGAGTGAAGTTTCTTTATTTCTTCAAATAGGCTTTTGGGGATCATTAGTGCACGTCCGGTGGCATATATATATAACATGCATGTCGGACCAGGAAAATGTGATGATGACGAATTTCTTAAACTGTTCGAAATAATCTTATTGAAATATAAATCTGTGATTTTACTATGTCTATAGCTTCGATGAACCAAAGCAAGTTAGATATCGACCTGTATTTAAATCAGATTGGTTCTGGATGTTTCTCTCGTATATTCAATATACTTGTATGATATTAGTTCTATATTGCGACTATCCATAGTTCCGTATTAAACCTTCCATCTAGGCGTATAAACCAATGATCGACAAGTGCCGCACATTTTGTTAAATCAATATTTGTATGTTTCAAAATGTCCATAATTATTGACAACGGGTATATACTTACATTTTCCCCACTTTACCCTTGGAAAATGTGTAAATAGATTTTTATTTCATCATTTTTTTTTTTTTATTATTTAAACTTTCATAAATATCATTCTTTACACCAAAAATGTTATTTATAAACAAGCGTATGAGTTTAGCAATGACTAGTATATCACTATCGGATACGCTATACAAAGTTGTATATTACACCTGATAGATTCAAAATGGAAGTTACATGTTATCGGCCGTGTACACTGATCAATACCCCCAGAAAAGAAGTGATGCACGAACTTGTTTTATGTAATTGTGTAATAACAGTTTTAAAGCCCGACAGGAAATCGCTTGAATACCTGTACGTGTCACCTCACAATACCTCTGGGAACAATTCCTTTAGCCATTCTGGTGATCAGATAAGGGAAGGTCCGAATTTATTTTAAAAAGTTTATTACATAAAACAATTATGAACAAACTAGATTTTCAAAAACAATTTTACACGGAACACTTATTTATAACTTTGACTTTTTAACTAATTTCAATTTATTGTTTTAAATACTTCGTAAACAAAACAGTTTCAAAACGACAGACCATACTATTAGTACTAGTTATTTAAAAAATAATATATATAAAATTACATTTTCCGTATCAAGTTAGTTAGGAAAGGTTGCACAACCATGTCTATCATAATCTTTTTTGTGACCCGGGAAACTGCTTTCCTTGTCGGATAAAACAACCGTACGCTTGACAAGATATCGACACTCAATTACGGCTACGTAAGGTTACTGCTTGTTTTGGTCTTTTGTGGTTTATAGATATATCGTGGTCAATATTCGGGGAGGATGTCAAAATGGCCGCATGCGGAGAATTGATACTCTAAATTTAAAATCGATGGTGATCTCTTAACTTGCAGAATAAAACTTTAATATCTATGAATTTGTGCTTTTTTAGACATAATGAACAGAATATGAATTTTTCATTTTTTTGCGAAGTTTCCCTTTAAACATCTAGAGAAAGACATTCCAAATGGCACAATGTAATGTGTATTCTTCTCAATTTCACTAAAATAAAGGTAAATAGAGAGGACTTACATAGTAATTATATTTGTTTATTAAGAATCTAACAAATTTAAAAAAATAGAACAGATGTTAGGAAAGTACTTAACAAGGAGACACTAGATACATACATATATAAAGCGTAATAAAAACATTTGGAATTGGTGAATTAAATGCAAGAAATAAAATGAATCAACTTACTGTTTTTTCATATGTTACTTCTTGTTACCAAGCCGCTCTTTGATTGAAAATCTATTGATGAAAAGTTATACAAATTTCTGTTCTTAACTTTTATACAGTCTTTTTATACAACATCTTTCATATTCAATTGCATCTATTGTTTATATGATAACTTTTAAAATCTTTATATTTTCAGATTGAAGTTTTAAAGAAAAAATTAGAAAAACGAAGAATAAAAATTTCCAAAGTTACAGAGAGGTATAGTTAAGAATAAAATAGAATATGTATGATATGCTAATCTGAAAAAATTTAAATGTTGATCATCCCTTGAATTTTTATTACAATTGATTTTACTTCAAAAGAAAAAGGTAAGAAGAAAATTGAAAATATATATTTTCTTGTTTGCTAAAGTAAAAAAAGATGAATGTTATAATATTGAGTGGCAGACATTAACATAAAAGGATACACATTGTATTTCTAAATCATATGAAAAATGAGATGTGTTTTTCTAAGTCATATCAATGGGACATTGCAATTTTATGTCATATCAATGATATATTGAATTACTAAGTCATATATATCAATGTTATATTGTATAATTTCTAAGTCATTATTAAAGAAGCAGCAGTTTCAATGAAGTTTAATATTCTGATTTGTATGCAATTTTTATGATAATTTTAAAATGAAGATGTTTTTGCTTAAGTCAAATCATCACTAATAAGATGTTTTATTTTGTAGTTATGTATCATATTTTGACCAGTATGCTGAATTTGATGCATTTATTACTCCCCCTGACCCATCAAATCCATGGATCTCAGACTATATAGATTTCTGGGAACAGGAAAAAACAGTGTAAGTCAAGTTAGAAAGTTCATTGTGAAATGCATAATAAAGATTATAGACAATCTGTGTGTGTGTTTTGGAGATTGATTTTTTTTTTGGGGTAGGGGAGGGAGGGCTTGTGTGTAGTAGATAAGATACATCTACAATCCCGCCAGTTATAACCCAGTACTTATGAAAGAGCATAACTAGAAGCTTGTTTAAGTAAGAGCAGGTTGTCTGGTCTGATGTTTGATTTAATATTTAGATGATATTTTATGAAAACAAGTACTTCAGAAGTCAAAATACTGCAATAAAGGTAATTTGGTTCAAGATTCTATAAATGACCATATTGACATTGACAATGACCTGCCTTTTTCACTCTTAGTTAGACTTTTAATGATACTTCCTACAATTAAAAACTGTAAAATGTTAGTTTGAGCCTGTTATTAGTAAGTGTTATAATAGAGAAAATATGTTTTAAGTATCAAGAAAAAACAAAACTGAGCCTTTGTATTGTTTTGTGGGCATTTTATTGGTGTAAGCCATAAGCATTTATTTCCCATATAGAATTTTGATTGTTTTGTGATTGGTAAAATTATTTTATTATTATTAAGTATTATTTTAGCCAACCATTTAGCAAAATGTCTGAATATTTAATTTAGATATCCAAGTGATCATAATAAATTCCATCATTGTACCTTGTACTTCTAATAACTATGTATAGGAAAAAAATGTGTTTTGAATGTTTCCCGGTACCCAGTATTGTAGCTTTATAATTAGAAGTCTGTATGGATATATTTTGTAGCAACCCTCGTGATATACCACAACGCAGAGTAAAAAGATGGGCTTTTTCTATAGAAGAACTACTATGTGATCCTGCTGGGAAGGAACAATTTAGTAAATTCTTAGATAAAGAATTCAGTGGGGAAAATTTAAAGTAAGTAGTGACACCTATTTAATACAACTAGGAATATATTGGCACATTTATGCAACTTCAAATTTGCATACACCACTCTTAGTATCAATTGGAGGAGACCTTTTGACGAACTAAAGGCAATGGAAGTACAGTACTTAACACTACACTAAAAAAACTCACATTAAATGCATTGATACATTTGTTATGATGAATAAAAAAATTGTTTTTGGAAATGTAGTGCTAATGCCTTGGACTTATACAGGATAGGGATGGTAGTAAGACTTATATGGAAATGATGTGTAACAATCTATATTTACAGAGTTTGCCTACTCTAATCAATAAACTATAGTATTTCCCCAGAAAATGATACAAATGAATTGCAAATTCAAAAAAAGTGTTATTATTCTGACTTGTAACAAATCCATGATTGCTACCTCTTAGATACTGAGTAAAACCTTGATTCTAGATAGAAACTAATTTTTTCTATTTGCAGATTTTGGTTAGCATGTCAAGATTTAAAATGTCTACCTATTAGAGAAGTTAATTTTAAAGTTACTGAAATATTTTCGTAAGTAGACTTCAAGTTATAAAGAAGAATTGTGTTCTGAGCTGACTATTGTGAACTGTAAAAAATATAGTATAACTATGAATAAAATCTGATGAGCGTTATGTATCAATGAAACAGCAACCCAATAGCACATTTTTTGAAAGACAAAAGATGTCAAAATACAGTCTTTTACAATGGATTACATGGAACAGAGTCTTTCACTGGACTATTGATTTTAATGATGTCATATCTTCTCATTCCAAGTTCAGAAATAGAACGTCTACCATTCAATTGACTGAATGAAACCTTTAAATGAGATTTAAACAGAAAAGTCCAAATACTTGTAAACTTGCAAGTTAAATGGTGTTTTTTGTTACAACCTTTTTAACAAACTTTTGACCGACAATTGTTTCCCGATTAAAACATTGCATATGGGATAGCTTTGTATATAGTACACTTGTTTACTTTCCATTTCAAGTTATCACCAGGTTTTCACAGTATGATAGTCCAGGAAAATATATTTTTTACACTATGAAAGTGCTACATACCTTGAACTAATTTTTCCATTTTTTGGAGAAAATATACAAAATGAATATAAAAAAGAAGATGTGGTATGATTGCCAATGAGACAACTCTCCACAAGAGACAGAATGACACAGAAATTAACAGCTATAGGTCACTGTAAGGCCTTCAACAATGAGCTTGCTTCTTAACTAATGTGTCAAGCTACGCATGATTTACTTCAGATTTATGGCTATTTAGACTGACTTTTACAAAGCTTTACCAAAACATACATGTTAAAACTGAATAAAATGAATTTAAAAAAGAAAGGGAAAAACAAGTCAGCATACTTTTAATTTTAGTTCATTTATATGATTTGGAGTTTAGTGTGACGTCCATTTTCACTGAACTAGTACACAATTTTATTTAGGGGCCAGCTGAGGACATCCTCCGGGTGCGAGATTTTCTCGCTGTGTTGAAGACACATTGATGAACTTCATCTGTTGTCTGCTCTTTGGTCGGGTTGTTGTCTCTTTGACATATTCCCCATTTCCATTCTCAATTTTATTCGTCAATCTATTTTTGAATTTTCACTGTAAATATGTAGTATTGGTTGAAGTTGTTAGAAATATTTACATGCTTTATCATTTTGATATGAAAAACAATATATATAAAATTTCCAAAAGATTCCTGATAAAAAAAGGAAATTATTCTCTTGGCCTGTATGTGTCACATAATCATTTCTACATGTGACTAATTTTAGGTTAGGGTTACTTTGAAAAACACAAATGAATGAAAAAGCGCAATGTGTCGACATTTCACTCAGAAAATTGATTTAGTTTTGGTAGTTTATTTGTCTTTTGTGTCTTAAAATATCTGCTAATCTTGGTGAATGTACTCCTGATAAGCACAACAAATTTAGAAAATGTCTGATGTAATTGATTTATGGTAACACATGGATACAAAATGTAATCTGTAGGGTGGAATTTGTGAACTCTCAAGCTAGATATATCAAACAAAATAAACAAGAGACATTCATCATTCTTTTAAAGATCTTTAACATTGTTTTTTTTGAAAGGTGTGTTCCTTTCAACTTGTAAAAATTGTTTTCCAATTGCAACTGAAGAGGTTGTAGTGTAAAGCAAGTGCAGTATAATTTTATTCATAGTTATTCTATTTTTTTTTTTACAATATCACATAAGGAATTCACCTGCTTTGAATGAATAATGGCAATGGAAATGTATAAATTTTGTCTTTGGTTGCAATGTTTTTGAAGATTCTTAAAAAAGGTGTACATATAAAAAGAAGATGTGGTATGATTGCCAATGAGACAACTCTCCACAATACACCAAATGACACAGAAATTAACAGCTATAGGTCACGATACGGCCTTCAACAATGAGCAAAGCCCATACCGCATAGTCAGCTATAAAAGGGCTATTTTCGAACATTCAAATGGAGATTTATGTGGTAAAAACGTATCAATTTTTGAAAAGCAATCTATGAATTTAAGTCTCTAAAAATTTATTAATAGAGTATTTTTAGTCCCCTACCGATAAAGTCGAAGGGGACTTTAGGTTTGCACTCCCTCCGTCTGTCTGTCTGTCTGTCTGTCTGTCTGTCTGTCTGTCTGTCTGTCTGTCTGTCTGTCTGTCTGTCTGTCTGTCTGTCTGTCTGTCTGTCTGTCTGTCTGTCTGTCTGTCTGTCTGTCCGTCTGTCAGATCAGTTTTCCACTCTTTTTTTTCACAGAAAGCTCGAGATAGGAATAGTGATCCGGCGGCAGCGTTAGCATTAGCTAACTTCTTAAAAGCTTTATATTTTAGAAGCTAGAAGACCTGGATGCTTCATACTTTGTATATAGATGCCTTATGTTACGAAGTTTCCGTCTGTCCTATGTCCATTGTCCTTGACCTCATTTTCATGGTTCAGTGACTACTTAAAAAAAAAGTCAACATTTTTTGTAATGTTAATTTCTTTCTTGTTATGAGTAATAGGATAACTATATTTAGTATGTGCATACCTTGCAAGGTCCTCATGCCCGTCAGACAATTTTCATTTGACCTCAACCTCATCTCATGGATCAGTGAACAAGGTTAAGTTTTCGTGGTCAAGTCCATATATCAGATACTATAAGCAGTAGGTCTACTATATTTGGTATATGGAATGATTGTAAGGTGTACATGTCCAACTGGTAGGTGTCATCTGACCTTGACCTCATTTTCATGGTTCAGTGGTCAAAGTTAAGTTTTTTTTATGTTTTGGTCTTTTTTTCTAATACTATAGGCAATAGGTCAACTATATTTGGTGTATGGAAATATTTTATGATGTACATGTCAGTCTCACATATTTTATTTGACCTTGACCTCATTTTCATTGTTCACTTCTCAGTGTTAAGTTTTTGTGTTTTGGTCTGTTTTTCTTCAACTATAAGCAATAGATCAACTATATTTGTTGTATGGAAGGATTGTAAGGTGTATATGTCTGTCTGGCAGGTATCATCTGACCTTGAGCTCATTTTCATTGTTCATTGGTCAATGTTAAGTTTTCATGGTTAAGTTTGTTTCTTAGATACTATAAGCAATAGGTCAACTATATTTAATGCATACATTGATCGTAAGGTGTACATGTCTGTCTGGCATGGTTCATCTGACCTTGACCTCATTTTCATGGTTCATTGGTCAATGTTCAGTTTTCTTGGTTAAGACTGTTTCTTAGAAACTATAAGCAATAGGTCAACTATGTTTGGTTTATTGTAAGGTGTACATGTATTTCTCATTTGGTTTATCTGACCTTGACGTCATTTTCTTGGATCATGTTAGTTTATGTGTTACTTGTAGTAAAGCTTTATATTTAGGACTATCAACATAAAATCAATGGTTAGTAAAGAAGGCGAGACATTTCAGCGTGTGCACTCTTGTTCTTGCTTGAAGATATTGATTTGATATTTGGTGTATTGATTTATCATGACAAGTTACAAATTTTGTTCCGGTATGATGATTTTGTGCATAGTTATGGTCCTTGGACTTAGAAAATTCACTCAAATAATCAGTTTTCCACACTATTTTCGTCATGCTTGCAGATATTGATTTGGTAATTGGTATATAGTTCTATCATGACAAGTTACAGATCAAATTCGAACTTTGTTCCGGTCTGATGATTTTGTGCAGAGTTATGGTCCTTTGACTTAGAAAATTCACTCAAATAATCAGTTTTCCGCCCTTTTTCTGGTCATGCTTGAAGACATTAATTTAAATATTGGTTTATAGTTTTCTCATGACAAGGTACAGATCAAGTTCGAATTTTGTTCCGGTCTGATGATTTTGTGCAGAGTTCTTGGACTTCGAAAATTCACTTAAATAATCAGTTTTTCACACTTTTTTTTGTCATGCTTGAAGATATTGACTTGTTATTTTTAGCTCACCTGGCCCAGAGGGCCAAGTGAGCTTTTCTCATCACTTGGCGTCCGTCGTCGTAGTCAGTCGTCGTTAACTTTTACAAAAATCTTCTCTTCTGAAACTACTGGGCCAAATTTGACCAAACTTGGCCACAATCATCATTGGGGTATCTAGTTTTAAAAATGTGTCCGGTGACCCAGCCAACCAACCAAGATGGCTGCCATGGCTAAAAATAGAACATAGGGGTAAAATGTAGATTTTGGCTTATATCTCTGAAACCAAAGCATTTATAGCAAATCTGACATGTGGTAAAATTGTTTATCAGGTCAAGCTCTATCTGCCCTGAAATTTTCAGATGAATCGGACAACCCGTTGTTGGGTTGCTGCCCCTGAATTGGTAATTTTAAGGAAATTTTGCCGTTTTTTGTTATTATCTTGAATATTATTATAGATAGAGATAAACTGTAAACAGCAATAATGTTCAGCAAAGTAAGATCTACAAATAAGTCAACTTAACCAAAATGGTCAGTTGACCCATAAGGAGTTATTGCCCTTTAAAGTCAATTTTTAACCATTTTTCGTAAATTTTTGTAATCTTTTACAAAAATCTTCTCCTCTGAAACTACTAAGACAAATTTAGCCAAACTTGTCCACAATCATCTTTAGGGTATCTAGTTTAAAAAATGTGTCTGATGACCCCGCCCGCGAACCAAGATGGCCGACATGGCTAAAAAATAGTACATAGGGTAAAATGCAGTTTTTGGCTCATATCTCTGAAACCAAAGCATTTAGAGCAAATCTGATGAGGATAAAATTGTTCATTAGGTCAAGATCTATCTGCCCTGAAATTTTCAGACCAATCAGGCAACTTGTTGTTGGGTTGCTGCCCCTGAACTGGTAATTTAAGAAAATTTTGCTGTTTTTATACGACCGCAAAAAAATTTTGTGGTCGTATATTGGTATGACGTTGGCGTCGTCGTCGTCGTCGTCGTCGTCGTCCGGCGTCGTCGTCCGAATACACAATGGTTTTCGCACTCTAACTTTAGTTTAAGTGAATGGATCTCTATGAAATTTTACCATAAGGTTCAATACCACAATAGGAAGGTGGGGATTGATTTTGGGGGTTATGGTACCAACAGTTAAATAATTAGGGGCCAAAAAGGGGCCGAAAATAAGCATTTTTGTAACTTCCAGACATAACTTGTGTGTTATTGTATGGATCTCTTTGACATTGTACTACAAGATTCCATATCACAAAGGGTCGATGATGGGATTGATTTTGGGGTTAATTTCCTCGAAATTTTAGGAATAAGGGGCCAAAAGGGGGCAAAAAACAAGCATTTTTCTAGTTTCATGACAATAACTTGTGTGTAAGTGTATGGATCTTTCTGAAATTTTACTACAAGGTTCCATTTCGCAAAGGGAAAGCTGGAATTGAGTTTTGTGGTAATTGCCCAAAACGTTTAGTAATAAGGGGCCTAAAAAGGGGTGAAAAATAAGCATTTTTTAGTTTCTAGACAATAACTTGTGTTCAAGTGTATGGATCTCTCTAAAATTGTATTACAAGGTACCATACCACAAAGGCAAGGCTGTTATTGAGCTTGGTTTGGGGGGGAAGGGGGGGGTGATGAATCATAGGGGGGGGGGGGGGTAAAAAAAGGGGTAATTATTTTTTTTCGTTTAAGGAATAAGGGGAAAAAAGGTTAAAAAACTAGGGTTTCCATTTTAATAGACAAATAATTGAGTAAAGAACATTATTTAAAAGCAGTGTAAGGTTGGTAATTCAAACTCATTTAAATATCTCACCTGCACTATGTTTGAATTATGTAAATTGGAAATTTGCCAATTATTTTAGTATAATAAACTTCATTGGAAATTTGCCAATATAAAATTTTGCTGATGAAGGTTTTTTGTTTACCTTTAGTCTGACTATGATGTCATTTTCTATTTTAATAGCCTTATGATGTAGTTAAATTTTTTTTAATACTTTTATGATGTATTTTAATGCGCTTTTATGGTTGCAAATTTATTGTTTTAATATAATAAACTCCATTGGAAATTTACCAATAGTTTGTTTATTTTTAGCTATGACTATGATGTCATTTTCTATTTAATTTTAAGGTTACAAATTAATTTCAGTTTTAAATATTATTGTAAAATGTTTGCCCAAAACATTTATTAATAAGTGGCCAAAAAGGGGGCAAAAATAAGCATTTTTTTAGTTTCCAGACATTAACTTGTGTTCAAGTGTATGGATTTCTCTGAAATTGTACTTAAAGGTACCATACCACAAAGGGAAGTGGGTCAAAAAATTTTGGGGGGGGGGATTTTTTTTCCTTTTTTTTTTCTTTAAAATTTTCCATTTTAAGTTGGTTAATTCTGATCACAAAGAGAAAGTTGGAATTGAGTTTGGGGGATAATTGCTCAAATGTTTAGGAATAAGGGGCTAAAAAAGGGGTTAAAAATAAGCATTTTTTTTTAGTTTCCAACAATTAATTGTGTTTAAGTAATTGGATCTCTGTGAAATTGTACTGCAAGGTACCATACCACAAACTGAAGGCTGGGATTGAGTTTGGGGGGGCGTGATGTGTGAAAATTTTCCACTTAAAGTTGGTTAATTATTTCTGATTTAGATATAAAAGCAAATAATAATGATGTGGTTTGATTTTATCAAAAACTTAAATTGAAGTTATGTATATTGTAAATTTAGGTTACATTGGAATTTAAGAATTGGCTTTGGGGTAGGGTTATGGCTCAAACCTTTAAATAATAAGGGAAAAAAAGGTGAAAAACGAGGGTTTCCAGGTTAATAGACAAATAAGTACAAAACATTATTTAAAAGCAGTGTAAGGTTGGTAATTCAAACTCATTTAAATATCTCACTTACACTGCTTTTAAATTATGTAAATTGGAAATTTGCCAATAACTTTATTGTTAATAAATGCATTGGAAATTTGCCAACAATTTTAGTATAATAAACTTCATTGGAAATTTGCCAATATAAAATTTTGCTGATGAAGGTTTTTTGTTTACCTTTAGCCTTGACTATGAAGTCATTTTCTATTTTTATAGCCTTATGATGTAGTTGAATTATTTAATACTTTTATGATGTGTTTAAATGGGGTTTTATGGTTGCAAATTTATTGTTTTAATTTAATAAACTCCATTTAAAATTTGGTAATAAAAAAAATTTTTGTTTATTTTTAGCTATGATTATGATGTCATTTTCTATTTTACTTTTATGGTTGCAAAGAAATTTTTATTTTTAGATATTACTGTTAAATGATGCTGATTAAGGTTTTTGCTATGTTTAGCCATGACTATGATGTCATTTTCTATTTTAATATCTGTCATGATGTATTTAAATGGGCTTTTATGGTTACAAAGGAATTTTATTTTTAGATATTACTGTAAAATGTTGCTGATTAAGGATTTTGTTTATTTTTAGCCATGACTATGATGTCATTTTCTATTTTAATACCTTTATTATGTAATTTCCATTTTTAGATATTACTGTTAAATGATGCTGATTGAGGGTTTGAATGCTGGGATTGATTTTGGGGGTAATTGCCTCCAAATTTTAGGAATTAGGGGCCAAAAAACAAGCATTTTTCTAGTTTCATGACAATAACTTGTCAGTGTATGGATATTTATGAAATTGTACTACAAGGTTCCATATCACAAAGGGAAAGCTGGAATTGAGTTTGGGGGTACTTGCCCAAAACGTTTAGGAATAAGGGGCCAAAAATAAGCATTTTTCTAGTTTCCAGACAATAACTTGTGTTCAAGTGTATGGATCTCTCTGAAATTGTACTGCAAGGTACCATACCACAAAGGGAAGGCTGGGATTGTTTTTGGGGGTAATTGTCTCAAAATGTTAGGAATTAGGGGCCATAAAGGGGCAAAAAACCCAAGCATTTTTCTAGTTTCCAGACAATAATTTGTGTTCAAGTGTATGGATCTCTCTGAAATTGTACTGCAAGGTACCATACCACAAAGGGAAGGCTGGGATTGAGTTTGGGGGTGATGAATCATAAGGGGGTTTCAAAAAATTTGGGGGGGGATTTTTTTTTCCTTTTTTTTCTTTAAAATTTTCCATTTTAAATTGGTTATTTCTGATTTATATATAAAAGCAAATAATAATGATATGGTTTGAATAGGTAAATTAAAAAATTTTAAGTTCTTAGACTACTTTCATTCTGTGTGAGAAACCTATGCTGTGTCAAATATTTAATTACAATCCAAATTCAGTGCTGTATCAAGCTTGAATGTTGTGTCCATACTTGCCCCAACTGTTCAGGGTTCGACCTCTGCGGTCGTATCAATCTGCAACCCAGCTGAGCATTTTATTGGTTATTATCTTGAATATTATTATAGATAGAGATAAACTGTAAACAGCAATAATGTTCAGCAAAGTAAGATCTACAAATAAGTCAACTTGACCAAAATGGTTAATTGACCCCTTAAGGAGTTATTGCCCTTTATAGTCAATTTTTAACCATTTTTCGTAAATTTTGTAAATTTTTGTAAATTTTTACAAAATATTTTCCACTGTAACTACCAGGCCAAGTTCATTATAGATAGAGATAATAGTAAGAAGCAAGACTGTTCAGTAAAGTAAGATCTACAAACACATCACCATCACCAAAACACAATTTTGTCATGAATCCATCTGTGTCCTTTGTTTGATATGCACATAGACCAAGGTGAGCGACACAGGCTCTTTAGAGCCTCTAGTTTATATAGTTAACACCTTGATAAGTTATTGATCAAGTTAGCATTTTGTTCCAGTACAATGAATTTTTAACTGGTTAGGGGACTATGTATTGCCATGCAATACTCTCAGAATGCTTGTTTCATCTATTTTTTAGCGCATTCTATACAAAAATAACTAATTAAATAAATTAGTTTTTCAAGTCAAAGTTCATTATGTCATTGTTGTATGCAAAATCTGACAACATCTGAAACACTATTCCTAGACCTTAATTAAAACCTTGAATAATTTTTTCAAAGCATTTGAATATATGATGAAGGGTAAAATCTATAAAAGTCAAATGATATGTGTATCAACCCACAACAAGAATTGGCTTTCAAACTGCTTCCTTACATTGGACAAAATTTTACAGTGATGTATATGAAGGGATATTTATTTATTTTCAGAGAATTTTTAGCTCCAGGTGCTCATAATCCAGTTAATGTAGAAGGTCGCATATCAGAATTAGTACGAGGTCGAATAGAAAATCATGTGGATAGATACTGTTTTGAAGAAGCTCAGGTAATGCATGAAAATCATTTAAAAAGAAAAGTTATGGTCACATCAAAATGGTTCATGTTTATGTATTACTGGGTCTTAATTGTCTTAATTGCAGCATAAACAATACACATTTAATAATGGTCAAATCTATTTTAAATATATAAAGGCCATATCAAGTGCTAAAGCCAAAAAAGTCCAGTTTGGATTGAGATATAACCAACTATAAAGTTACCTTAATTAAATTGTTTAATCTGAACAATGTTTTATCAGTATTTCAGGATTGTTGTTAGCCCTTGATAAACTTTAATTGAATCAATCACCCGTAACATTTGCAAATATAAGGTCTGACAACACATGTTCAATTTATGCTGTAAACGGTTAAAGTTGTTCAAATAAAAGATATTTCATCTTTCTGCTATATTCCTTAAAAAAAAGCCTTTTAGTAATGTATTTACATGCAGATTCCTATTGAAATTCAGAGTTGATGCTAGATATTGTGCTAAGGGAGATAATTCAATTATAAATATTTATTCAGGAGCAATGCGGTCCTTTCAAAATTTATGTCATATAAAATGGTTTGTCTCATGGAAAAAACATGGAATAAGTAAGCAGGCAATATATATTCCTGATAGAATTTGCACTCATTGGTATAATAATTTGTTTACTATATTTTTGATTTGTCATAAAATAGAAACAATGAATGAACAAAGGATTTTTATGCCCCCACCGAAGCGAAGGGGCATTAAGTTTTACCCTTGTCTGTACATACGTCCCAAAATTGGTTTCCGTTCTCTTACTTAAGTTTGCCTCAACCAAATGTTATCAAACTTATACACAATGCTTATTACCACAAAACACAGATCAAATTTGAATTTTGGTGGCATCACTTTAACCGTTCTAGAGTTATGCCCCTTTATAAATGGAAAAATTGCAAAATTTTTTATTTCCATTCTCTAACTTAAGTTTGCCTCAACCAAATGTTATGAAACTTATACACAATGCTTATTACCACAATACACAGATCAAGTTTGAATTTTGGTGTTTCACTAGAGTTATGCCCCTTTACAAATGAAAAAATTGCTAAATTTTTCATTTTTTTTCTAAAAATATCAATGATGTCATTGTTCAAGTAATTTTTAAAATTGGAGTTATCTTTCTTTGTCCATGATTATAGTTGAATCAACTACAATCAATGCTTTATACAATGCAATGTTTAATTTTGCCTTCCACTGATAAAACACAGATGAAGTTGAATTTGGGTAGTGTCACTTTAACCATTATTGAGTTATGCCTCTTTATAAATCGAAAAATTGCAAAATTTTTTATTTCCGTTCTGTAACTTAAGTTTGCCCAAACCAAACATGAAACCTATACACAATACTTATTACCACAAAACTAAGATCAAGTACAAATTTGGGTAGCGTCACTTTTATTGTTCTTGAGTTATGTCCCTTTATAATGTTGTATGCAAGCGGGGGCATCATCTGTGTCCATGGGGACACATTCTCCATTTATTTTTAATACTGGACATGTGTGTTAGACATTCTTTAAACTGTTGACTTCTAAGGATATTTTAATTATTCTGCAACTGTTTAGATTTTGAATAAACTTGGCAGAATTTTTTTTTCATGTAAGTCAAAGTCTTGGGATGAATTATTTTACAGATTATAAACTATTTTTTGGTGATAGTTGAGAAAATTTGAGAATAAATATTTTATGAATTTTTGATACATATATGATCATTTCGTCTTTTGAATGCCAAGATTTAAAAAAGTCAGAAAAACAGACTTCCGAAGGAAAAAACAAGAAATTTTTTCACTCATTATAGAAAAGTCTAAAAATAAAATGCTTTAGAAATTTAAGCTGTGTATTGTTTCCAGTCTGTCTTTTTTTCATAATTAGATTAAGCAAATAATATTGTTGATAGTTAATAGTTGTGAAGTTAGACATAGGTTTTTATCTTGAGACAACATTAATCATTGTAAAACCTTGTGACAGCATCAATGGCTGTCAACACCATATGAAAAAATTAAAATTAGGTCCATTTCAGAATAATAATTTGTGATAGATAATTGATACTTGGTATTCAGGTGCATTAAAATCCATTCCCCCAAGGTAATGTGCAGATAATGAGATTCTGTCCATCCTGAGTCATGCTCTAGTGACTTTAAAATGTATTGCATTGTTTAGTTGTATAGTTTTCCGATAGAAATGTTTATGAAGACATGTATATGATAGGCTCTTAAATTGTCTATTAATCTTGGGAAGGCCAATCTTATATTGTCTATTTATCTTGGGAAGGCCTATCTTAAATTGTCTATTTATCTTGAGAAGGCCAATATATGCTTTTGCTATTACCTGGTGTTTGTCACCTTGTCTGGTTGTCTGTAAACTTTTTCAAACATTTCATTTTATTGATCCTTAGAAACATCTCTTTTTCAAACCTATTTTTGTCTCGAATGCGATGACAGTTGCAGAAAGGGAGACATAGGTGTTGCTTTTCATGCAGCATTGGTGGATGCATCAACAATTATTAAGTTTTCTGCTTAAGTCAGTTTGATAGGAACTACTTGTGATAGATCAATGATATTTTTTATAAAGTTACATTAATGTCAGTACAGACTATTTTGAGTCCCTGCCCCCTAGGTCATGTTCCAGCGACTGAATTTATTAGCAATGTTGCTGTCCATCAGCTTGTCTTTTTTCAAAATAACATATCTCTGTGTCAACAGTTTATTATATAAAGGATCAGTTATACATGAATTTATTTTTCCTTCTTTTTTCAGGACCATATATTTAAATTAATGAAAAGTGATAGTTACAGTCGATACCTTCGCTCAGATATGTACAAAGAATTTCTAAGTGGAACACGGAAAAAAGTAAGATTACTTCCAGCAATCAGCAACTTTTCCGCCTTCAAGCACACCTGACACTTATTTGATTTTGTTTACACTTTTGTTGTCAATATCTTTCTGCTTGTGATACATGTACAATATTTATTTTTAGGGGTTCATCAGGGAAATGCTCTAAACTTCTTCAAATTTAAACATAAAGGACCAACTTTCAATTTTCTTTGCATTTTCTTTTTTAAGCCTTATGAGAATGAGGCTAACTGAGACATTGCTTATGGCTTCATAATTTTCAATCATATGAAAAAAAGCTGCAAAAAACACCTTTCATGAAAATTGGACCAAATCTTTCTGATAACATTCCCATACGAGTTTCATTATTTCTTCCATCAGGTCACATGTTCATTTTTTGATTTATGATTGGTTGTTTTATTTACCGGTACAATAATTACAGTTTGAAGGCTAAGATTATTATTTTATAAGCTTGAACATTTCATTCAAAATTCTGAAAATTTATCATGTCAAAAGCTCTGATAGTAAAAAAAACACTTGTGTTTTTAAATAAAAAAATAGACTATCAAAACTTCTATGCGTTCTTAAGGACATCACAAAATCCCTGATGAACTTCCCTGTTTATAAGGCATTCATTTTGTACACATGTATGTAACACAGAATTATTTTATGTGTAAATTATTGGCACAGTCTTTCATGTACTGCACAACAATGTGATATATAAGCAAAATATTTTTCAGTGTTAGTTAATAGTTTTATGGACATAGAATTGTAATCGAAATGACAAAATGAAATATCAAATTTCTTTGAAATATATAAAATATTTTTTTCAAATAAACTTGGCCAGTATACAAGTCTGAGCATTCAATTGATAAAATAAAAGGGGTTTCATGGGAAAATCTATTAAAACGGTGGACTAAAACAAAATTATGTTTTAAAAAAGTATAAACTACATAAAAGCACATTTTATATAGCATAAGTAATCAATTAAGTGATTGTTTTATTCTAATTTGTTATGGGCCGATGTTTTTTTTAGAGAAACACATGAAGAAGTGCTGCTTTTATAATTTAACTTATCTTACATTTTTAATCACCATTTTGTTTTTAATATTTTGACTATAAATGTATCAGTTTTAAGAACTGTTACAATGGTCCTGTTTTATATCTTGAATTAAAAAAGTTTTTATATTTGAGTGAACAAAATACAATTTTAGTAGGAAAATCTACTTTTTTTAACCATTGTTGTCATTCTTATTTTTTGCTGTTGTTTTGTAAATATGATATTAACAAGGAATTTTATTTGAACTTCAAAATCAAAATAAATTTGTTCTTTTCACTTGTGTGGAACAATAATGAACAAAGATATATATCACTGTTGCAAACCATTACAAATTGTAATATTTATGATCCCAATTCTTTATTTTTTCATTTACTACAAAACTTCAGAATTACAAAGTTTTTTCATTTTTTTTTATCTAAAAGATAGAAGTACAAAGTATTATTTTTACAAATTCATTTAATAAAATTGATAAGATGCCAAAAAGATTAATTGAAAAAATAATTATTCTGATTGAAAAATTAAACATTCTGTTGTTATTTTTCTGTTGCAAAAATTAAATTTTGTGGCAGCTTTGCTGGAACTTGTATTTACACCTATAAAATTTAACATTGGCATTAAGCAGGTTTTTTCTAAACTCATTTGAATTTGAAAGAATTGTTTAGGATGATTATAAGTAGTTTTACATCTCAATGTTGTTCAATCAAAAATTCAAATTACAAAACAGTAGAGTTGATCAATGTTGTATATTGTTGATAATTTAACTTTCTCTGGTATGCTTTACATGTATTTTATTCATGTAGTTAGTACACACACAGTTGTATTTATTTCACAGTATTTTTTATTTTTCGTGCCTTTGCAGGGATCAAGGGCATGATGATTCATTTATGAGTTCATTTTGTAAATACAGTTAGAATTAATATTGAGTGATTGAAATACACAGGCTGGCTCTGTGTTTTTCACAATGAATGTAAAGATTGTTTATTTAACTAGTAACCTAATTACTTAGTTTTTTCTTGGTATCTTTTGTACTATAATTGATGACTTGTAAGTGTATAGGGGGATCAATAATTTTGAGTTTTCATTGTCACAAGGAGCCCGAGGTTTTTCATATTATGTTGTAAGTTCTGCAATTAATACAGATTTTCGATACTGCTAATGTTCTATGTTAATTAGTTATAGTAAATTGACAAAGAAAATAACTTCTTAAACTGTTAATTTTGAACCTTACAAAATAGAATCAATAACAAGATTCAGTACCCATAATTTGAGTGTACAGTGTAATTGTTAGCTGTGATAAATGAAAGTCATTAGTGGGGTAAAGCCCATTTTACCCTGATGTTGTTAGCAGTTGTACCCAAATACAACTTTTTCTTAAGTGGCATTTCATCCTGGTGTCACATTCTTTTGAAGAAAAAAATCGATAACATCATGAAATAATTTGTCATTGTTTTTCTGGAGTCCTTAAGATCTAAGTGTTGATTGATTGAATATCAAACAAGATTGGAAGTCAATGGGAGTTTAATGTCTGATTACATGATTTTACTTGGTTTTACCAATGACCAGCCAACATAGATATAGTCACTTTTAATAAAACAGTAGTTAAACACCAATTTTGATTTTTTCTTCTGCATTTGTACAGTGTAAGAGGATCAGCTTATATTGTGTTTTCTTTAGATGGTCCTCTTTTATTTAAGTTTGGTTATCCTTACGTTATAACCAGTATAACTGACATTACTATATATAAATGTAAACTGTTACACTATAAATACATGTAGTTGTGTTTTATACCCAGGCATTAATTACTATTTCTGTTTTTGTGCTCTATCTTGCCAGTTCTTTCTTATTGTCTTAAATTTCTGTGTATTTTCATTTTTGTATTACCCTTCAGGAAACCAATATATTGTCTTTTTGGGTTAATGCCTGTTAGTTGCTACTGCGTTACAGTTCTTTTGTTGTTTTTTTTTTTATAAGTTGTTTAGTTGTTCTCTACTGTTTGAGCTGATAAAATTGTCAGAAATATAGCATCTTAATTTATTTTACTTATTTTGGCTATCAAGATGGCTGGAGGTTATCAGATCTTGATGAAATTAGAATTGGAATTTTGTGCAATATAGGTGATGCTGAGTTACCCTTTTTATAGATCCTAGGCTTAAACCATGTTCAGACATAACCCTAACTTGTAGCCTTTTTAACGAGATATTTACTTTATGCAATTATAGTAGCTTTTTAAATTAGTAAGATTTTTAGATCTCATTTGTTGTAAATGAATTGGTTGATATTTTTATTATTTTATTTTATTTTATTTTACAATTAAAATTATTATATTGTGTTCAGCAGTGCAATATTTATGTTTAATGTGGATGTTAGTTTGTTGTTTGTTGTCAATGTTTATGTGTATTTTGTTGTTTATTCAGTTTTTAAAAGGATACTTTAATGAAACAATTAGAGTTGTATTAATTTAATATTCTGCCTCAGATTTGAATTCCTGATTTTAACATTAAAAAACTGCTCCTAAATTGATATACTGTTGACTTCTATCACCTTTTTAGAAGGTAATGGCAATTTTGGGGCCAGAATTATCGAAAGATGAAAAGCATGGATATAAATAAAATTGAGAATGGAAATGGGGAATGTGTCAAAGAGACAACAACCTGACCATAGAGCAGACAAAGCATATTTACTGTTGATTTATTATGTACCCCATTATTGCCATTTTTCACCTGAAACATCCATATAACTATAAACTGAAATAATTTTGGATTACATTATGATATTATGTAGATATATTTGTACATAATTTTTTCCATTTTCTTTATTTTTCTGTCCATCTTCTGCTTCAGTATTACTTTACGACATTATCTTGGTAACAATTCTTGAACACTCTTTTATACATACTTTTGTAACCTTTCATACTTGTCAACTCAACATTTAAGTTAGAAAATTTAAACCATGACATGGCAAGTTTTAAGAATGTTTTTCAATCCAGGGGAATGAAAAACAATCAGAGTTCATAATTTTGCGTCTTGTCACCAATGTTTTGATATCTACAAAAATTTAGAAATGGAGCCTTATACAGAAAGGCATCATTCCCTTGCTTATCAATGTTATTTCTGTAGCTGTAAGTAAAATCAGCAATAAATTTACTTATAAGTGGTTGAGTCAGATTAGATTGTGCCCACATTTTGACCCTGCTTCCTAAACTATGTGCTGTTTTTTTTTATTGTTCAAGATAGTGGTCTTCATGTTGGTAAATGCACTGTGCAGGGTTTTTATTTTGTGTTTAGTTTTACATAATACAGTCAGGCGACCATGTTTTTCTCGTCCTGCACCAATTTTTGTAGTTCAATGACTTAAAAAAAAATCAGTGGAAAAACTTGTAATTACCATTTACTTAGGCAATCTTTTCAATAACTAGAAGTTTTATGTCAAGTTAAGTTAAGTTAAGTTATGTTAAGTTTTAGAATCATTGTAAGGACTACATATATGACAGATCTGTGTCATCTGACCATTGACTTATCTTCCTGATTCAATAATTAACTTAAAGTGTAGTGACTAAGTCAGTTTCTCAATGGCGTTAAGCAAATTAGTCTATAAAATCATTGTAAGTCTCTTGACAAATTCAGCTATAGGCCAGGTCAACTATATTTGATCCAGGGAATTTCATGAGTGCATGTCTCGTTAACAAGTGTATCCACACTTGTAATTTTGAAAGATATTTTTAGACTTTGATCTCTGAAATAAACATATTATTAAGTCATAATTATTTATGAAGGCAGTCGTTTCCTCTCTTGTTGTTTGAGTTGAGGAAGTCTTTGTTGACAGGTATGAATGATACTAATGTAGTACCCTTAGTTATGTTGCTTCCTTTTAAACAGGTCCTTATCATCTCTAGGTCACACCTGGCTGAACAAATACTGACCTAATTTCTAAATTTTTAAGTTTCATCCTTATTCATTTA